TCTATAGGATTCATACGTTTCATAAATTTACAAGAAGTAAACTTGGCTATGATACCAATGTTAGGTTTTTTCATAGGAATCCTCTTGTAGCATGCAACAGAATCTACGAAAACCAAGTAGCGATCAGAGATTAATCATGAACTTGAAAAATCGCACGTTTCACAGCCTGAATCCTTCGACTGATGATGCATATAGAATAATTTGATACTAGAAATCTTCTATGTGTTTTATAAGGCAGAAGTTCTCTCAACCAATCTCTGTCTTCTTTTTCTTTTGATTTTTCAGAATTACACGTTCATACTACCACCACATATCACACGCTATGATATAGAGAGAGGGGGAGATTTGAGGGGGGAGGGGCACCAACTTAATTGCTCCCAAAATTCAAATCTAAAATTCAATTTTAGATATACATCAATTTAAATAATTGATAAATTCTACGGTTAATATATCGAGAGATTGTCTAACCGGAATGTTGGAATCTTTCTTCTACCTAGCAATTTCTCTCATTATCTGAAATGGTGAGCACATATATAACAACTTTTTCTATGACAATCAAATACCTAGAAGCTTTTAAATTAGTTGTGGTTTTTAACTCTTCACAAAATGTTATAATTGCATATTTTTTTTATTCTAAACAATCAAAGCATAATTTTTAACCATATAATCATGAGCTTTAAGTGTACAAGTTCTGTAAGGTCGTCTAAGCATTTGTGCTTTATGCAATTGTTCCCTTATTGAATGAAAAATAACAATATATCTTTTTCCTTATATTCATCTTCTTTAAACAGGTCTATCACATCATTATCTCTAAAACATACCTGGGCGACAGAATAAAAAAGCATTTAGGGATTTGTTCATGATCCATGATTACAAAGTGGATCAAGCCTCTGAAACCGAACTTAAGCGAGCTTCAAAACCATTGTGATGTAAATCCACAATTAATATTTGTTTTAATCATGTTGAAATTACATAATCTAGTAAAAAAACAACTACATTCTTTAAAAAAACAAAAATTATAATGAACTAACGACATATCAACAATTCAATATATTAACAAACTAAAAGTCTTTCCTTACACAAAATAAGAACCAACAATATACCAATTAGTCAAAGGTAATAAACTCTAAAAGTTTTTCCTTGCACAAAATATAACAAATGATATAAATTTCAGTCAAAGGCATTTGATAATTCCCCTCCTTGATTCAAGAGTATCCAAAAATGTATGTCTCTAAGATTTGTCCTCGAGCAAATATTTCAATATTTTGGTATAAACTTTATCGTCAAATATCTACCATGTTCTTTAAAATCTCTAAACATTTGTTCAATTCTTCATCAACACAAGCTTTTGCTTTTGATGAAGCCTCATTGACGTCAACTGGTGAAGAATTGAGAAGTCTTTTCTCAAATATATCATTTCTTCTCTTTGAATTCTCAACATAAGCATCTACAAAAGATGACATAGTTTCGCTTAATGTTCCTCGCTTTCTTTTGAACTTCTCGCTCATGCTACTTTAACCGTAACCTTCACTGCTTATGGGAGCATTACTTTCAGTTTTATGTGTCGATGGATTTTGTGGAGGGACTTCCAAAATTAGAATGATATGACTCAATTCTTGTGGTCGTAGACAGGTGTCTACGTGTAGTCATTTTATCCCCATCAAACATCTATTTACAGCTGTCTCAAACGCCAAAATTTTTGTTAAGGAGGCGGTTCGTCTACATGGGATCCCAGAAGCATTGGTTTTATCGTGATAAGTTGTTTATCAGTTTGTTTTGAGAAGAACTATTTCATTGTGTGGGTATTACATTGCTTCGTAACACTACTTATCATCCCTAAACAGACGGTCAAACAGAAGCATTAGTTTTGAGAAGAACTATTACATGGGATCCCATAAGCATTAGTTTGTCGTATATGTTCCAAGTGAATCCCTAGTTTTGTTGGTTAATTGATCAACATTTGAAGGATAGAGATGTTGTGTTGAAAACGCTTAAGGAGTACAACAAAGGATGCGAGACCAGGCCAATGCTAAACGAAGGGATGTCGAGTTCAAAGTAGAAACTTGGGTGTATTTGAAGATGCGTCTGTATTGATAACAAAATTTAGCATCACACTCCAATGCTAAGTTAGCCCCCTCGATTTGTCGGACCTTTTCGAATTTTGAAGCGCATTGAGACTATAGCCTACAAGTTAGCCCTGCCAGAGACTCTTGTGATCCACCTTGTTTTTCATGTCTCTCAATTAAGAAGGTTGTTGGCAGCTCACTTACAATTTTTCATCTACCTTAGGTCTTAGGTGAATATGGTATTATTAAGGTGCAACCTACTGAAGTGTTAGGTGTTCGTTCGAGTACTGCCCATCATCGAAGGTTGAAAAGTCTTGATTTGTTGGGAGGATGGATCTTTTGAGGAGGCTACATAGGAGTCCACCGATACCCTTAAGGCCCAATTCCCTAATTTCCACCTTGCATACAAGGTTTCTTTGGAGGGCGGGTAATGATAGGCCCTGGATTAAGAAGGTGTATTATGGGAAGAAAGTAGAAAGAAAGAGTAATAGTGGAAGGTGGTTAAAGAATGGTTTATGTTATTAGTGTGTGAGCCCCAATTAATTAAAGGGCACTATGGTAATTAGTATGTTAGTTATATTCTGTTGTATTGTGAGGGGTATCCTCTTGGCAATTTGTATTCGTTTTTTGTAGGAAGGGTAATGAGAGGTAAGGGAGCTCTCGAATCTCCCTCGGCCCTATAAATCCCCATTGTTACATAAATAATAAAATCAATTTCTATCAAAACACTTGTATATTTTCGATGTTCAACCAATGGCTGATCCGACATTGTACTGGAGTATAATTGGGGCTTGCAATATCTTACAAATACTTGACTTGACATATTGCCTACATTTATCAATTATCTTAGTAAATTTTTCAAGCAGCCATGTCCTTTGATATCTCGTCAAGATAAGATCAATGGGTATATCTATCGAACCTTGTGATTCTCTGTCGATTTCTGTCTTTTTAGATGATGATTAGGCATCAAGTATTAATGATAGGAAATATGTGATTGTCTACTGTGTGTTTTTGGGTAACACACTTGTGTCGGGTCAACTAAGAAGCAAACGGCTGTGACACGGTCTAGTATTGAGTCAGAATACAAGGCGTTATGCTTTGGTTGAAATAATTTGGTTAAAACAATTGCTTGGCCAGATTGGTATTCGTCTACCTTTCGTTCCTACTTTATGGGGCAATAACATTAGTGATGGTGCCTTGGCTACTAATCACGTGTTTCACACGCAAACTAATCACATTGAAATTGATGTCCATTTTGTACCAATCAAGTTGATTGAGGTGCTCATGAAGTCTGTTATGTACCTTTTGTTGACCAATTGGCGGATTGCCTCACGAAGCCTCTTTCACACATAGTGTTGCGCTTTATGTAGCTAGCAAACTGTAGTAGAAACTACTAATCACTAATGTACATGTCAAGTTTTAATATAGAAGGTAATTAAATAATTATCGATGTCGTTTTCTGAATTGGGTTTAGCTCAATTAATTACCACACATAAAATTGTTCGATTTTCTATAGATAATCAAATTTGGAATGGGTGAATAGAATCAAAACAAATACATATGCAATAATAAAGAGAATAAGTCAATAGAAATAAACCTTCTATGGAATTGATTTCATCCATTGAATTGAATCTATGAACCAATTCATTATTTACTCAAGATTAAATGAAATATTAATTATGTTCAAATTTCAACTCTCACCCAAGTGCAAGTTAATTGGACTTACTAAGTAAGAAACCAATGTTTCTATCTAGTTTCAATCACAAGCAAAGACTTTAATGAATAAGTCTTTTAATGACCTCTAAATAACTTCTAAATTTCCCGATCTTAAAATCCTTTTAGTTATGCCTCCCATTTCTAACTCTAAATCATCTCTTTTGAGCTTAAGATTTTAAGTCTAATATCAATCAATCTATGGTTAGGAGATTAAAAACATTAAGTATATATAGAAAAACATGAATAGACCATTTAAATCATTCATGAAGAGAATCAAGCAATCGGTCCATAGAGTTCAATGGCTACATGAATTCCTAAGATAAAGAGTTTAGTTATTCATTTCAAAGTAAAACAACAAATTCTCAAGGAAATTTCATAGCAAAACTAGAAAAATAAAGAGAAAGAAGATAAACTGAATCTGGTCGTTGTGTCAATTTATTGTCCCCGATCCAATCTCCACAATCTCGAGCCTTGAAAATTTCTTCTCTAAGCACTTTGATGCTCCTCTTCCCACTTTTCGAGTCTTTGGTGCATTCTCTCTCTAAGGTGGGTGTTGGAACCTCAAAACGGTGGTAGGAGACCTAATTTTATAGAGAAATTGTCGCGACAATACCATGACACTGGAATATATCTCGAACCAATGCAGCGCTAAGACTGGCGCCTAGGCACTCCATGATGTAGCACCTAGGTGCTGTCCTCTCAGTTCTTGAATGTTGAATTTCCTTCGTGCTGCAACCTGCTAGAAACCCATTTGCAAGGGTACAATGTAGTTAAATACAGAGCATTTTTCTCCAATCCATAACATAAATTCAAGTCTATTAACAATTATAGACGAAAAATTATGAAAGAAAAATATGATGGAAGGAAAGGAAAAATCAATAATCCTCACACACATAAATAAAGGAACTTGAATGCTTAAACCAAAGTCAAGCCCTCTTATTGTTAGATCCTTAGGCAAAAGTTTCACGATTTGTTCTTAAATTCTAAACTCTATCCACCCTTTCATTGGAAATTTGCCATCAAAAGCTTCAAAATCTTGATCTAAAAATGAAATTGAGTAAGCAAAAAGAGAGAACAATTTTGTAAGTTTGAAAGTTTAATTTTTACGATTTATATTTATATAATTATATCAAACGCTATATTTTAGGCGTAGTTTATGCAATTTACCTTAAAAATATTTGAAAAAAAAAAGAAATAGAGGGGAAAAAATAGAGAAAGTTACCAAAAGGCACTAACTTCTTATTTCTAAATGTTACATCCCTCACTTTGTACAACAGATCCTATTGTGGGTCAGTCAGTAAAATCTCACGTGTGATTTGTTAAAGATCACTTTTTTACTATAAAAACTTAACACAGATCACTAGAACCTCTGAGGAGCAAACCAAGCAACATACTGAATTTGCAGTTTCATTAGTATCAGCTCATCTCTGGCCAGCAGCGCTTGCTCGGTCACTCGATCGCCATAATATATATCGAATTTTGAAAACTGAAATACTCCGAGCACGGCTTGGTTTCGTGTGATGCTCAAAAGTTAGCAAAATTGCGTCTGCGATTACGAGCACAACGACGAGAAGGTGTCGTTCTGCAACTGAAGACATGGCGTAGGAAAGACTGCGGTGCTAAAACCCGACACGAATGCACAGTGCCATTTCACAGAGGGAGCGAGGCCGAGAATGGTGACATTTTTCATGCATATCCCGTCGAACGATGCGCCCTTGATGCCATCTAGAACGGGAGCCTTTGTCGAATTTAAACTCACGACATTGCTAATGAAAACACCCTTCACTCTCGGAACTGCCTTCGGATCCCATTTGTCGTCGGGGTGGTCGTTCGATCCCCTGCTGAATCTTATTGGTACCTTCACTCTATTCATTACAAAGTTACTTATACTAACATTTGCAATGTATCCTCCTCTACCCTGGTCGGATTTGATGCGAATGCCAGCAGCCGAATCCCAAACGTTTAAATCCTCGATCGTAATGTTCGAAATTCCACCCGACATCTCGCTTCCTATTCCGACACCAGAACATGTCGGGGTTGTGCCAGAAACTCTCCTTATAACGATGTTCGAGCTCGGCTGCGCCATGTTGATTCCATACTGATCCCATCCACTCTTCACTGCCACTAGATCGTCTCCGCTCTCAATGTAACAGTCCTCAATACAGATATTGGTACTTGAATCTAAAGCATAACATCCACATTATTCCAAGCTTAGAACTTCACCATTGTTTTCTTTTTACTTTTCGAGCAACGTAATCCGATATAGATCTACAAAAGAAGCATACCTGGGTCAATACCGTCCGTGTTCGGGGCATTCAGGGGAGCCAAGATTGTCATGTCTCTAATAACGACGTTGCTGAAATAAAACAGCAAAGAAAAACATAAGATCGATATATAAGTCCCTCTACTAGTACATAAGATGGTCTGACTCTGCTGGAATCACTCGATCAATGGTACCGAGCATAAATTTGCAAATGGTAGAAATAGGTCATGTTGAGATCGAGATCGAGATCGAAACCTGCAGTAGACGGGATGGACGGTCCAAAAGGGAGAGTTTTTGAAGGTGAGATTGGAGATGAGAATGTTGTGAGAGTACATGAGCTCTAGAAGGTGGCCTCTTGTGTGATTCAATGTCCTGTTCCACCACAACTCCCACCACATCTTTCCTTGGCCATCAATGGTTCCATTATCTCCTGGAAAATTAAACACAACTCATCAAATTTGCGTAATTTTGAACGTCATCGAATCGATGGATTTGAGCCACATAAATTGGTTGGAACGAGTATTGGGTGCGCATATATAAATGACCGATTGAATATAATAGCGAAGACCCACAATAGTTATTTTCTTGAAGTTGAGAGATCATATGTTTTATTAAAAATTGGATCTTACCTTAGACATTTTAAAAGTTCACATATTAAAATAGAATAAATGTGAAAGTTTACCAACTAAATAGAATATAAAAAACAAAAATAAAAAATTGCAAAACCTTAGCCAATGTAAACCGAAGATTTTGTTTATTATTCTTGTTAAAAGTTTCTTAGTTTCATATACCCAAATCCTTTCATCTAATTTTCACTTTTTAAAACATTTTTTATTACCCAACTCTAAAAAAAACTATTGAATTACTATTTTGTTTTTAGTTTTGTTCTTTAACCATGATATTTATTTCCTCATCATTTCTTTGTTATATTTTTTTTTCAAAATTTAAAACCACATTTTAACCTTTTTTTTTTCAAACTTCACAAACAAAAACAAACTGTTTTTTTGTTTTATCAAGACTTAGCTTAGATTAAAAAAAAAAAATTAGATGCCCAACAAAGAAAATCATAGGTGAAGGTAATATTTATAAACTTAATTTAAAAAAAAAAGCATAAAAATAAAAATAAATGTCTCGTTTAATAACCATTTTATTTGTTTTGTTCTCTGTTTTGAAAAATCAACTTATAAACATTTATTGTTGAGCATCTGTTTTTTAAACTGTTTTCAAAATTTAGCTAAATTTTTTAGAACTAATTAAAAAATGAAGTGATTTTTATTTTTAAAATTTGAGTAAGAGTAAAAAGTGCTTTAAAAATGTAAAAACATATCTAAGAAATTGTGAACACACAAACAAATATTTCAAAAACATAAAACTACAAACAAAACAGTTATTGAACGAGATCAAAATATTATCAAATTGGTCTAAAACTTATTAAATTAAACTAGAACCCAGAAAAAAAATAAATAAATAAGCACCATCATTAAAAAGAGAAAAGAAATGACATGATCAAAGTGTATTAATGACACACCATAGACAAAGACATGAGAAAAGTTTGATTCCATTACAAAAACCAAGAATCATTATCATTTATCAATATAAAATTCTTGTAATAGAGATGGATCCAAAAGTTAAAAAGAAAATTTTTTAAAAAATAAAAAAAAAATGGAGGCAAATAAATATTAAAAAAAAGGAAAAAGAAAATAAAAGTGGGGTACCTGTAATGACAACATTGGAGAGAGCATTGGCATGAATAAGGCTGATGTGTCTTCCCCCCAATCTCTCTCTCCCTCTTCCATATGAAGGAAGTGGCTCTATAATGGGCCACTCTTCTGGATCCTAAAAATAAATGAATAAATAAATAATTCATGTCAATAAAAAACAAAAACCTTTTTCACTAACATGACAATATGATTGCTAAATAAAAATTTAATAAACATAAAATTGAATTTTCTTATTAAATTTCATTAACATATCGACATTTCTTTTTTCATATGTCCATAGATTCGACATTGACATGGGAGAAATTGACCTTTCTATAATATTATATTCGTTAATTTAAATATTTGTTTTTACACCATTTTTAAAAATATTTATTCGATATTTTCATGAGATTTAGACTTGCACATTTTTATTAACGTGGATATTCAAAACATTGTTTCAGATTCAAGTAACCCGCACAAAAGAAAAAAGAGATAATAGTCAATGAATCAACAGATTATATTGAAATAAATATACTATTGACATTTACAAGCTTTGGGGGAAGGAATTACAACTTATTTTTTTTAATTCCTTTTCCCAATGGAATCTTTAAATTTAATAAAAATTAAGTTTAAATCCTATCTCAATATTAGATATAAATTTTGCATAAAATACTATGTATATAGACATATAAATGGATAAATGATTATCCTAGTTTGAACCAATTCTCTCTGAGTCTTTGATAAGTTTTGTTACACAATTTATCAAAAAAGAAAAAAAAATTACGGCAAGGACTAAAAATAATTTTTTTTTATGTGAAATTAAGAGACTAGAATGAATATAATAGTTGATAGACAAAAAATAGTATTAATATAGAAGTTAGCTAAAAAGTTAAAATAGTGATCCTAAGTATCAAGAGAAGTATATAGCAATCTCACAGCTCCAAAAGCATATCAAGAGAATTATATAGCAATCATTCATAGAGACAATAAAGCAAGCATTTTCTTTCCTAATAATTTTGGTTGATGCTTTATTATTTCCTTTCCTTCTACTTTAAAAAAAAAAAAAATCGAGTATTTTTGATTCATTCTATATACTTTTATCTCATTTACTTTGATAAAAAGAAAAAAAATTAACATGACACTTCACTAAATTGTAATCACAAATTTGTATTAAGTAGTATTTATTGTAATAAAATTAATGTTAAAATTTTTCAAATCAGTGACAAATCAGACATTTAATAAAATTACGGAAGTTAGGATTACACAACCAAAATCAACTTATACCTAATTTTTGTTATTGTTATGTATTTTAATTTTGAGGTCATTGATGTTGTGGGCCCACTGCCTATGTTTCTTTTTTGTTTTTGTTTTTGTTTTCATGTATTAAAATAAATGAAAGAACATAGGTGGCACCGCCAGCTCCAGAGTGATCTCTCTGATTTTTCCTTTCCTTTGACATTTTCTTCTTTCCCAGATTCACAATTTATTTTTCTCTCTTTTTTAACCCATCCAAAAGCCCAAAGACAAAATAAATAAAATAAAAAATAAAAATCCCCACCGCAACAAAACACCATACAAAAAGTTTACTCATAATTTATTACCCCACTTTTAAAACAAACTCTCTCCAAAAAGTAAAAGCAAAAAAGAATATATATATATATATATATATATATATATATATATATATAAAAGAAAGCTGAAATTACCATTTGTAAGTAGTACGGAAGAAAACTAATTAAACACTTTCATATATCTAAAAGCATTTTAAGTTTTAATCTATTTTAAAAGTTTTTTAAATTACTTATAATTTATTTAAAAACACTTCAAATTTTAACTAAACAGTAAACACGACAATATTTATATTTAAAAATAAAAAATAGAACACTTTAAAAACACATGTCAAAGTCAAACTCACCAATATTGATTACCTATATTTTC